GTCTTGTGCAAGCGGGCAGGTGGAGTCTGTGTGTGTGTGTGTGAGAGAGAGAGAGAGACAGAGAGAGAGAGAGAGAGAGAACACGTAATGGATGCTTTCAGGATCCTGGAGAGGGGTGCAGCTTTGTGTAAATCCTAGTGTAAATCCTAGAAGTCCTTCAGCCATAGCAAGGTCATCATTGCCACAGTGCTATTTCTTGAATCTCACAAAAACATGTCCAGGTCACATCGACCCAGTGTCCTCATTTTTGTATTTTGAAATACAACTATGACATAGACATGCTTTAAAATTTCATTAAAGTATAAAAATAATATAATAGTTTTTGTCTAATTTATGTATTTTTTATGTGATTTTTTTTTAATTTTTTTTTATTTTAATACTTTATTTCTTGCTTATTTTTTATTTATTGTGCTCCATGTGATCTGGGCATGTTTTGGTGCGATTCAGGCAACAGCACTGTGACACTGACCTTTCTCTGGCTGATTCTCGGTCTCATGATAATATAATAGTTTTTGTCTAATTTATGTATTTTTTATGTGATCTTTTATTTTTTATTTTTTTATTTTAATACTTTATTTCTTGCTTATTTTTTATTTATTGTGCTCCATGTGATCTGGGCATGTTTTGGTGCGATTCAGGCAACAGCACTGTGACACTGACCTTTCTCTGGCTGATTCTCGGTCTCATGGGAAATACACAAAGTTGTCATTTCTTTCCCTTATTCTTTCTCTCCTCACCATTTTTTTCCTCACACAGCTTAACAAGAGAGCTTTAAAATGGTTAAACCAGTATATCAGGGGTCATTGATATTTTCCAATTTAAGAACATTAGTCTGTCATGTTAAGACAGGCCAGTTTCTGTCACCCCATGAAGGGCTGATCATTATTATTATTATTATTTTGGCTATCAGTCATTCAGCATTAACTCTCCGATTCATGGCTGACCCCATGTGACCTTGGCTTCATGAACCACTGTACAACCGTCAATTAGCAATTTAAGCTGTCAAAATTGACTAAATGTCATGAATTTATCATTATTTTTATAAAACAACATTTAACTTGCAAATAAGCTCAACTACAGCAAATCTGGATTGTTTACAATTATGGTGAATGTACATGGCTCAGTAGAAACAATATTCAAACATTAAAACTCACTTCAAGGTTGATCAAACATCTCACTTATCTTATTTCATCAATTCAAGTGTTTAAAGGGGAAATAGTGTCCAAAATAAATGGGATCTGGTGTCTTCGTTGTGCTGGGGAAATTGTGAAGGAAGGGCAGTGTTCAGAAAGCAGGGGTTCAGGTAGGGTCTGTATATATATATATATATAGTATTTATAGAGTTTTAGCTTTTAGTTTTAATTACTTTTTCTTATTTGTAAGTCGCTTGGGATAAAAGCGTCTGCTAAATGACTAAAAAAGTAAAGTAAAGTAAAGTTTTAATATTCATATTGAAATATTGAAATATTGAAAAAAAAAAAAAAAAAAGCTCAGACCTAAATTGGGTTTTCTTTTTCGTATTAAGAAGTGCTTTCCTTTTGAAGCAAAAAAATTATTATCCAAAGTTGTTTCCTTTCAGTGTTGGACTATGGTGATGTGGTTTATATGCATGCAAACTTGTGCTTACTAAGGAAGTTGGATAGTATATATCATGCTGCAATACGATTTGTGACAAATACATCTTCACGTTCCCATCACTGTACTTTGTACAAAATAGTTGGTTGGTCATCCTTGTACCAAAGGAGAAAAATGCATATGTTATTATTTACTGCCAAGGCATTATTAGGTAAACTGCCAACTTATATTTGTAATCTTTTATCATATTATACTTGTAATTATAGCAGTAGAAACTGTTACAAATTACATTTGACTGTTCCTAAAGTACGCTCTGAATTTGGCAAAACTGCCTTTTCCTCCTATGGTCCTAGGCTATAGAATGAAATGCAGAGTGTTATAATTCCTGGTAAAATAAAGGATAATAATAATAATAATTCTGGCAGAGGGCAGCAGATTTTCCTCAAGAATTTGAGGGTATTTTGCCCCATCCATTTTTCCTTCTATCCTGACAAGTGCTCCAGTCCCTGCTGCAGAGAAACACCCCATAACAGGATATGACCACCTCCATGCTTTACTGCAGGAATTATGTTATTTGGATGGTGAGCTGTATTGGATTTCTGCCAGACATATCGTTTGGTGTTGAGGCCAAATAATTCAATT